TGGGCAGATATCAGCAAGTCGCCGCGTACCATACACGACCGACTTCCTGCTGATCAACGCAACTAAGAAGCAAAAGCACACTATACGTTTCTAAGGGTTAAATTGCAAACAAGTTAATTTTCGAATTGGGTGTATATTGCATTCTTCTTTTGAAAGCACTCTGCCTCATCCTACTGATGACTTTGGGAGTGGACAGTTTGTTCCCTGTTGGATGCACTCCTTTGGGAACAGCATTATATTTACCCTCGTATGGGTGCCATGTAAGCTGCTTTTTTTCAGTATCAGGTCGTTGAGGCCGCTGATACTGTGTTACCCACCTCCACCTGTTACCATGTTTGTGCCTTATCTGCTTTTGTTCGTAATGTTTGCCAGTGCTTATTTTTCGCTTTTTTTCCAGGTAGATATGCCGGTATTTTTCTTCTTGGATCCAGAATTCGCCGAGGACCCAAACTTGCAGCGAACAGATCGGATTATTCTCCATTACACATTCTTTGAATCGAAAAGCAATAAAATGGTGACCCCCAGCATTAACAGTGCAAACCCTGTCACAGTTTCAGCCTAGAACCTTCGATCCATCTGTCGGATTCTCGCTGTAGATACTTGTTTTCGAACTTTGGCATTAAACAATGTACATATAACTCAGAACTTTTTGCTACTCAGCTTGAGTATCACTTAGTTTCCTGTGTAACGTCAAGAGGTAATTAAACTGAATCCTGTAACCACATGTGGACAATCTCACAGTATCCCTTCAGCACCATGCTTTCGGTTTGGCCTGCTCCGTACGCACCTGTCGCGTTTGCTATGGACGGTTCTTTCAGGTATGTTTAAGGACTGAGCCAAATCTTTCGAGTACACAACAGAACAAAATGCGAACCATCAAGAGCCCGATCCTAGAGGGGTATATCCGAACACAAACGGAAGCCTCACACGGATTTGACATCAGAACGCTATACACGCATGTGGGAAGCAAGAAAATCCATTCACCCAAGTTGGCAACGCGATGCATAAAAGGTCCGCAGTCGTACACAAAGTTATGAACTGAAAAGGCTGACGGAGTGCAAAATGCAGCGGATATTGGCAGCTGTCGAAAGACATTTCAGTATATCCACAGTGTTGGTCTGTAAAGACTGTCAGTTAGTGAATTGTTCCGGTCCACAACCTACGCGGGGCCTCATCGTTCGCTGCGCCTTGAAGAATAATTTACCTGATTCCTCCCACTCAACCTGACGGCAAACACTGCAATTTCCCTAAATGGGTCGTAGATAGCTTAACTTCAACAGAAGATTGAGGTCATCACGAAATGGAACACCTGAAGAGACCAAATCCGAGATGGCTCAGTCGTTAAGGCGCGAACCACACTGTCCGTGGTTTGAACCCAAAACAGGCATCTCGATTGCTCCCTTCGAGTGGCATGGCAACTAGGTACCCAAAGGGTGAACGATTTTTATCAGTCTCAGAGATGACTGCATGCGCAGTTACCCACTGATATTTTTAGCTGAAGTTTAATGCGTTTTCAATGGATGCACCTAACACGCAGTGGCGGCATTTAGTGACTGGACAACGAAACAACGGCTCTGTCCGCCGTTCTCGGTCATTCGAGTTAGATAATAGAATGTTGACCTTGTTGATTTCTCACATGGTCAAACTTTCACATGAGTGGGTAATTGGTACGTTTGGCTTGTATTCATTGACCATGGCTACATTAGCTGAAGGCAGATGACGAACGGGATTCCCATTTAATAGTTAGGATAAAACAAAAAATATAGGCCACGGGGGTTGGGAGAAAATTTACAGGGTAATTTACACTTATTCAGAAGGCAAATGCGGAATGATACGAAATTGAAGGACAGAATAGTACAAATGTCATCATCGGGTCCAAGCATTCGTAAGATTTTCGCGAGACCCGAGGTTGACGCTATACAAAATAGCTGCTCCAAGAACAACGACAGTAAGTAGACTGGTAAGGCCATAGGGAACCAACCGCATCACGGAGGTTGGGTTAGGTGCACACGGGAGAATCAAACGACAAATGGGTGCAGTGGGTGTTTCCAGTAGTCCGGATGAAGAACAGATGATGACACTCGGAAGGGGTTAACATCAATGCATTGAGAGTAGGGTCACTCAGATTGAGCCGTCACAGGGTGCAAGATGCTGCCGGAGCAGTTAAGCCTGAGAAAGCCTCAGGCGCTTAGCCGGGCTGCCTTGTGTCAGCTCGGATTTGTCAGTGGAAACGGATATGTGTGTATCTCTGGCGGTTAACACAGCCTTGCTGTTGATGGCGTCCGTAGGAGTAAGTGAGGGTGTGGGCACTTCCAAGTTTGCTGGGTTTGGATCACAGAATGTTGTTACACGAACCACTTTCCGAACTGGAATAGGCTGGAGAACGAGCGAAAATAGACAAACGGGAGCATGAGAGCAGGAAACTAGCTACCGATAAAAAGTCAACAGAGACTTGGGTCTCAATTGAGGCCTACACAGTTCACGTAAACGTTGAACTAGATTGTATAGTAACCGAAAGTAAGTGTGTCTGTACCTGAGTCTGGGCATTAAACCCTCCTTCGTTCACGAAAATCGGAATTTAACGAGGATAGACTGTCTATTCTTCTAAGTCATCGACACATGTTCACCGAAAGAGATTCAAATGTGCAAGGCTGCCGTTACTTAAACATGGTTTGCCTTGTTGCTATCTACTTGCCGCTGCTCGGTTTGTTAAGTGTAGGAATTTAGTCAAGTTAACGCTTGATTGTTCTGGAATTTAATCCCGTCACCAAGGACAACAGTGGTGGTTAAAACAGGTACCCAATTGTCGTGCAGCCGCAAGCATTTCGACACATCTCCATTTCCATAAACAGCAAAACGGCCATTGCACTGATTAGCAACTTTACCTTGTAGTGTTTTCCACCAAGCACAGAACCCTGCCTTTCCAAAGAAGGTGGTTCACGAAGACGGCGCACTCATTCAAAATGTCTTTCACACGTTGCCTATCTTGTTTTCACCACTTTTCGGCATGAAAAGTGCGTGGATAAACTAACGTACATTGTGGTTTTGTACGTCGGAAAGGGCCAATCACGTGACGCCTAGTGTCCTGGATTATTCCTAGTGCAGAACGACTGTTGATGGGAACACACCACATACTACTGACTTAAACCAGTTGTTAGTCAGAGAAAATTCCATGTGATACACTCACACTGAGAAGTAGCCAGTTTTCGAAGATAACCGATCCCGGTCCAGTATGGCAGGTTTAGTGCTTGGTTCTGATGCTTTCAAACAATGCGAAGCCGTGCACCTAGTGGATTCCCATACACAATCAGCGCAATATTGCGAGATTGAACAACGCACAGCATTTTGCTCCCCTCATGAATGAAATCTTCGTAAATGACTTCGTTTTAGCGTTCTAAACTTCTGAGCAAAGTGAGAAGTCCAGAGTGTATTTCGCTTCACATAACACTACTCATGAGGTCGCTGAAGACGCTGGACAGCCCACTATCGGTTTCGCACTTTTTATTTAGGCTAAACCCTGGAGTTCCGTCAGTCATAAGTCGTAATCGTGCAGCACATTCAACTAACGAATACTATGAATGACATGCAGGTGCGCAGTTAACACGAGCTTAATTTGCGAAAGAACGTTTATCGCAACATGTGTGTAACATGATGCTCAACTAAGATGATGTATATAAGGGGAACAGGCTGCGACAGTGCACTGTCCAGAGTTCCCACTGATCTCATGAGTAGCATCACGTGAAGCAAAATGCTGGAATTTTTCGCTTGCTTGAGTTTAGTACACTAAAGAGGAGTCGGTTGCCGAATATTTCGGTCGAAAAGGCAAATAACGTGCTGTGCGTTGTACAATCTCCCTGTAATGTCGCACCGATTACGCTTGGAAATCCTCCAGATGCACGGTTTCAAATAGTTCGGAGTGAGTTCGAGTTCAGTTAGACATTAACTTCGCAGTGATTTCGAGAAAAACTCAAGGACTAATTACTTATCACTATGGCTGTATCAGCTGGACGTCTCTGATTTAAACGTGGTTGGTATCTTGAATACCAAAAGAAACAGAGGCGGCCTAAGTGCAGCACATTCAGTTGAAGATCATGTGCGAGGGGTTCATTCGAATTTCAGTCTAGCGTTAACACGAGTTAACACAAGTGTGTCCGTGGAGAGCCAGACAGGTTTGTTTGTAACTACATACGTCTCTTGACGGAAAACCCATCTCAAAAGCTACTGAAAACCGTTCCACAGCCCACGACCGGTTTCGCCCTACATTTCTGTCGCTTTCCAGGGTGACTCAGTATTGGAGTCTCACCCACTTGTCCGATTCTCACCGACTTACTGAAACGCTGATAAACGTGGGCACGGTCACAACGTTGATACAACACCGACTGTGATTTGCATGCACATGTTTTTTCTTCGACGACATCAGGTGAGTTTCAATATCAGCAGCACACACTATTGGTCAGAGCTCAATTGTATGTTTCAACAGACGCGGTTTTTCAGCAAGTTTGGATCGACCATCCATTGACGAACGAATCTGCCTATTCAGTTAACCACTGAATTGAGGGAATCGGTACACCTGAACCATAAGGTCAGCCAATTTTGCATCAATCAACAAAAGTTTTTCTGTTCAACGCCAAATCTTAAACAGCTCAGAGATATTTCGTCCGTCTTGGCTGAGATGAAAGACCTCAACTACCAGCGTGGTGAGCACCGACTCACAACCTAGACACGTTCCTTGCGGTTCGTCACACCCTGTCCGGCAGTACAATAGAAATGTGTTCATCAGCATGGCCTCGATCGAACCATGTTTACTCTGCTTTCCCGTGATTAAACTGGTGTCGTCCAGACGTCTACACGGAAGTCCGAATGTCTCGATTTTAAGTCAGGACGTCCTGATAGGGGATGTGAAAAGTGTGAAAAATGATTTTAAAACGTCTAGGAAGACGAAGAGATACTTCTAGAGATGTCTTGACATCCCCGAATGCCCACCCGTGAATTTTGCGCTCAGGTACGCCCGATGTAACAGTTGTAGTAATGACGGACTTCGATAACCTATTTTTTCTCCACCAACTCCTCACTCTGCATGTGCAAACCAAGCAAGGGACCATCTATTCAGTTTCGCCTTCAGCCGTATCCAACATTCCTGGCTTCATTCCGTGAGCTGCTGCACTCCATCTGGCATCAACGTTCCAGATATGATCGGTTCTCACAAATCAATAAACTTGTGATTTGGATTTTCGTATTTATTCAGATGATACTGCGTAGCATTATCTTTCGGAATTCGTGGCGAAGTCTAGATTCCGAAAGTTACAGCCACTTTCTGTAGAAGAATGAACCAGCACTATAGATTTTGTGAATACCTGGTTCCCATCAGCAACGATTGGCACTGCACATATTGTTGTCTAGAAAGCTCTACAGCACTTCCTCAGTATCACTCAACCATACAAAGTAACGTGTCAAGACTTTGCACAAAGAAGTATCGTTTAGAAGAGGCGAGGGAGGATAAACAGGACTTTCAGTTGCCTAGGAATCTCGTGGGTCATTTCACCTATCGGCAAACGGCCTCAACACTTCACACTACTTTTGTTTTCACAGTCACTTATCTGACTGGAATATATATATTAGTTGGCACATTGCAAATCTAATGGATTGGATTCATTGCATCTGTTTAAGGTCAACGCGCGGTAGGTACCAAGCAATAAGCACGATAAGTCATTAGAGAATCGCTCACGCAGCAACGACGATTTACGGAACATTCAAAACTGAAGTAGACACGACACTAAACAACATCGTGGAACCAACTCAAACGAGATTTAGTCGACTGATGGTTTCTCCAAAGCTGAGAAAAACTTACGTTTGCAACAATCGGTGGCGGTGAACAACTGGGCTGAGGAACAACAAGAAATGCATCCTCAGAGATTTTCTCCTCATCCAACGAACTAGAAACTGCCTGGGATTCTCCGGTCGATCCTGGTCCAGGTTGTTCCGAAGGTTCTGAAGACTGAATATTTGATTCCTCGATAAAATTGTCCAGACATTCCGTCCCACCGGGAACAGCATCCCGTCCGATGACAGAACACAAAGAAGATTCGGAAATATTTGTAGCCTCTAGTCCATCTTCTGTGGTAGTTGAAACTACAACTGAATCAAGAGCATCGTTTTCAGAAGGTTTCAGAGATGCAGTGCTTTGTCGACAGTACGCCTGTACAGACTCGTGTGCTCGCTTTAGCATGGCACTTTCATCACCGGTAGAGTCGTCAACTTCGTCTTCATCATCCAAATACTCATCAACCTCCTCATCCTCCTCGGTATTCGAGCAGACGGCCTGCTTGGACCGGTGTTCATTCAAAAGCGGTAAATAATGGTCGTCTTCGGTAGCAAAGCTAATTGTGTCAACATCGTTTGTCGCGCCTGACTTATACTCACGTCGACCAATCAAGTCAGAATGTGAACGTGATTGAGCATAATGTTGTTGAGCGAGGTCCTAATAAGAAACGCACACGGAAATACATTCATAAAAGGCATGCAACATATGTTCAGTGTTACACCCTCCAGTGGCTATATGAATCACATATAGAACTTGTTTTGATAAAAAGTTTGAAGTTTGTACATATTTGTAACCACACTGATTTTACTTCAGTTTATTCAAGAGTTTAGCTTTCTAAAAGAATGACCATATATTGCTTCAGGGGTTTTTGTGTGAAACTCTCAAGGACGTGAAGATAGGCCTGATTTCACTGAATAAGTGTCCAAGCTCAAAACCGGTAGCCAGAACATAACTATCACGGCACGCTACGCGTGGCACAGTAGTTCAAATGAGTTGCGCGATAGAACTTACAAAAATGACAGTGTTAAGGATCATTGGGGATTTCTTAACAAAGCGTTACGTCTTAATTGTGAGGTGTACGTGGACCAACAATCCACATTTTACGATGAGTAATAAAGTAATTCAAAAATGGTCAATCTTCCCTTGCCTGTTCAACAAACTTTGGCAACGATAACTATCAATCAGTGGTGTGGAAATCCTTCTGAGGAAGTCCTTCATCTGGGCTACGTGGAAAGTGGGCCCTCGAGCGGCACATTCTTCGTCGCACAACTTAGCGATCGGAACCAGTTATCATAGTCTAAGGTGCCTAGGTAAGCCCAGCTTTACACTGAAAAGAAACAGAGATGTGAAGATTATACTTATTTTATCTTGGACTGATTCGGTCCGAATTCCTGTTCGGAGTTCAAAGGGCCAGTGAACCTTCGTGGTTGGAAACTTTGGTGAACACAGCACAGATCGAACTCAATGACACGTAGGCCCCATTTTACTAGGGTGCTGCTTTCACATTTATTATTGTCTATTTTCCATTAAGGAATATTACGTGCTGTCATGTTTGTCCTGCAAAGCTGGAAAAAGAATAAACTCGATACTGTCTCTTCGTGCTCGTTGTGGGTCATCATTAACGTTGAATGGTATGCATATTTCCAAAATTTTTGCCGAAAAGTTAAACATTGCGTTCAGTCATAACGAGTGAGTGTATAGTCTAATGCACTGGCGTTGACTACCCTTTGGGTCGACAAAATTTCGGAACCCTTATTTACAGGACTGATGACAGATGTGAGGTTCAAGTGGAATCTCAAAAAGCCTTTTACACCACTCCACAAATTACCCATGTGTGGCTCAAAAATGCGATGCAAGTTAGCGTTCAGTAAGCCTATCCTTTAGGATATGTGCAATATCGGGAAAAGGTTGAAGTCAGGCCAGTATATTTCCGACGTGCCCGCTCCAAGGATTTTGACGATCAACTGAATATGAACGACCTGTGACGCCTGTTTGATTCAGAGACCATAGAGGCTAATGGATACGCTTGGCAGATGCGTCATGAGTTGGAATTACGGTGCGCTTGCGTATGCGAGCTTTTATGACCGTGAGAGTGATTGCAGTATGATTGACTCGACCAACGTGTGCGGGGTTGTTGTGGGGGCGAGGTGGCTCAATGGTAAGAGCACGAATTTACTGATTGGAAGGTTCGGGGTTCGAACCCGACCCCTGAATCTCGCCTTCTCCTGTCTAAACATGGGCAACCTGGCAGCATTCCAGACCTTGTGCTTCATTTAGGTGGTATGGCAGGTTTGAGGGAGCCTATTTTAAACGGACCGAAGCTTGGATCCATCACCCCGCTTGACATTGTGTTGGTCTGTGGAAACTCGCTACACGTCCATTCCATGTTTCGTGATTCCAGATCAGAGCACGAGTATTACAATTCTTAATCTGGCGACCAGCCTTAATTTCGTAGGGTGTAATAACTGGGTCACACTTAGGTTCTTTGGACATAGATAAGTTTTGCGATGGGTCGGGATATCGTTCATGCGTGTGTAAATGTCAACATAAATAGAAACATCGGTAATGCTCGTTACTTCGACGGATGCTTGGAAAGCTCACAAAAGTCGAACTTCCTCATCAATCCGGATTCAGTTTCCACCGAAAATCCCTAACCTTTTGATGCTGCGTTGTATCAGTGAAATGAAGCAGTGCACCTAGTGGGCCGCCGATAGCCTCCACCATTAATCGTGGGTGAGCTGCCTAGTGCTGATGGAACTTAATAAGCACAAAACAGGCGCATGGAACCCTCCCTCTAAAAGTTGAATTTATAACTTGCGCTGGTATTTATCTGAGATTCCCATGTCAAGTGACGGGCTAAGAAATTAGGGTCGCTGGGAAAAACGAAACTCAAGCCCGGGGTTTGGAATGAAACAACAGGAGGAACCTCGACAAGAACCGCGAACGGTCGAGAATAATGGATATTTACTGTTTTCAGACGATCAGTCAGACAGAAGTTAGGTACTTGATAACGGAGTAAAAAAGGAGCGATAGCTCGATCTAATTCAACTTGAAACGGAATGAGAACCAGGAGCAATCAGGCTATTCGAATGTAAACACAGAACCATAAATTCATCCGTCCAAAGAATTAGTATGTTGACTGTGTTGGCCAGGATCAAGTGATGAAACGCTCACAGAGGGAGTGACATAAATGTTCTTGACAAATTATTACAAATACGTTAACCTACCCGACCCATTTCACCCATCACGGCCACAGGAGTCATCCCGAGATGCGCAGCCACCTTGTGTTCGACTAAGTAGAAGATGTACTCGTCAAAGAGAAGACGAATTAGGTGAAAGCTCCCAAAACTGGCTGCGGACCGGAGAGTAAGGTCCCGAATCACCATGGAGCTGAAAATAAAATAGGGCTTAAGATACCAGCATATATGGCTACGAAGCAAGCTGCATCTTTTGTTAACCGAGGAGACTGAAATAAACCAGAGACCTGCTGAACTTTCAACCAGTTAAAAGATGAAAACACGCATACAATTTCGGAGTGAAATGCGGTACTTGTGTGCATTCTCGACGGGATCTATGAACAGTATCATTCTGACGAAAACAGAGACGAAGTATTCATGACATAAACTATTAGGAGTGCTTGCCCAAGAGGACTAGGTGGCTAAGATATATAGTTCTAAATATATTGACAGCCATTCCTCGTTGTAACTGACCGAGGTGAAATGTAAATTTCTTAGGCTTTGAACATGTGAAATCCGGAATTTCCGTCGACGAATGGCTTAACCGTAATCCTTTACTGTAATAGGCTGTTGCATATTTTTAACTTTGATACTTTGGTGACGTGGGGACAGTCAGTATACTTTCATCTGCCAAATTTAGTTTCCACCTTAAGGTCAAAACATTGCTCTGTATGAAAGAGTATTTTCTTTCGTTTAAATACTGAAATGTAATCTTGAAGAGATCAATCACCACACAACAGATAACTATGCATGTGTTGCCATACGCAGTAACATGTTGCTCAAAAGAGATATCACGCGGATAAAAACGTTCATGTTTAAATGGTAAGTTGCACCAAACACATGACTGTTTTTGTCTACACAGACCTTCTACTTCTCAGACAGATTCCACCACGTCTCGCTACATTATTCGCTCTCTACCTCCCACCTAAAACAAATGCCTTAGTTATGGCATGCCGTGTTACGTAACGCTGTAGCTAACGGAACCAAGCCAAACGAAAACAAGGAATACCCTATACATCCCGCGAATTCACAGCACGTGTGCCCACGACGAAATATTTAGGGGCTATCACAAGAAAGAAAGTTAACTGTCTCTAAAATGAACGGATAGGTTTTGTTTGTATACGAGTTAGTTGTGCAGATCGAAGTACTGTCGATCCGAAAAATACTCAACGCGCCACAAATATTGTTCATATTTTGTTCATTTTGAAACTTGGGCTGGAAATAGAATAGCCTTCTCGGAAAAATTCAACGGGATATGGGTGAGTGGGAATGACACAGACTGAGGGAGTTAGGGCTGATTGCCTCGTAGTATCTGGGACCAGGCGACCTACAGAATACTCGAAATTGTCCCCAATCCCGTGTGCACTCTTTTACAATGAGGATGCTGTTGGTCTGTCGGCCGTTGGCAATTACCTTGTAAGCTTTTCGTCACCAATCTGGGAAACGTCATCAACCCGCGCACTGATGACTTCCCCCGATCGGTACGAAAAGTTCGCAAGTTAATTGCCATGTTCCGTGAACAGATCAACATTCGCCTGAGCACCCGTAATTATCTGCAAAATTTTTTTAACATAGTCCACGAGTAGCGGTACATCAATGAGGTAGAAAGAGCCCCTTCTGGGAAGATCCTAGGCTGATGTAGCACAAAAAAGCAACAGCAACGAAGATAAGCAAGTTTTTTGCTGCGATACACGTATAGACTTAATGCACTACTCATAAGGTTGCTGAAACTCCTTCGACAGTCCACAACCGGTTTCACCCTTCTTAGGGCTCATTAGGATAACCGCAGTCCCCGAGTTTCCGTCAACCCTATGTTCTACTTGAACCCAAATTGAACTTATTTCGGCGGATACACTCATTTGCAAACAAATTCGGTTTTTCGAGACACTCGCCCGGAAACCAGCTGAATCTCTCGAAAAACCAAATGTGTTTGCAAAATGAGTGCTAATTTCATGCAGTTTGTTCTCAAGTAGAACATAAGGTTGATGGGAACTCGGGGACTAACCTGATGAGACCAAATGTGTTTGCAAAATGAGTGCTAATTTCATGCAGTTTGTTCTCAAGTAGAACATAAGGTTGATGGGAACTCGGGGACTACGCCTACCTGATGAGCCCAAGAAGGGCGAAACCGCTCGTGGACTGTCGAAGAGTTTTCAGCGATCTTGTGAGTTTTCCATATAAAAATATAATGCGCTATCTCGAATACCGTACCAACTGAAACATGAGGCGGCCTATGTGCAGCACATTCAGTTGAACATCATAAACGAGAGATTCACTTGAGTCTCCCGAGAAAACCAAATTGATTCGCAAATGAGTATACTTGTCGTAAGCACACATTAGTCTTCAAAGGTTGGGATACTTACAAAGGCTAAAGCTACATCTACAACTTCAACAACGAAGCAACTGAACGGAGGCCCTTAGGACTTACATCACTACGACATTTTTATAACCGATGACTCTCTAAACAGAACACATGCGATGATTGAAATGGTTGCGCGTTTTGGACGCATTCATAAAAACACTCAGTCATTTCACCCATAAATACGGGATTCTAGTCCACAGAAATACCCTCTGTTCGAGTTATCGGTAGACTGTAAGTACTCACCGGTTGGCTCCTTCTTACTAACTGCACTCTGCATCGTTTTCCAAATCATCCGACGGTTTGGCTACCGTCTCTGAAGTCGCCCTCTACCGTCCAAGGCCAAGTCAAAAGCGTGTAACCAACAAAAGATAAATAACTGCCCCCTACCAGAAGGCGAGCAAAGGACAAATAGGAACTCCTATAGGCTCAAATTTCATGACACACGGGTTGACCGAAATAACCAAAAGCAGAGCCAGTCAGTATGGCACGTGATTTGGCCAAGCAAGACTGTGCGTCTTTTATGGAACGGAAACTAAGAGAAAACGATACGTCCATTCGGCAGAATGGAGATCAGTTTAGGGGCAGCAACAACTTAGTGTCACATTTTAAAGTTCAACTTTTGTGTGGATTTTTGTACGAAAACTTTGGGGGATTTACTGGGTGGGGATATTTTTAGAAAAGTGGCTTACCCAGGGTGCAAAATACCACGGACTCCAGTGTACCCGGTTTGATCTACATATATATCACGTGTAGGTAGTTTATTGGAGTCTACCTACTGGCCGATAAACCAACCAAAATGAAGAATGGAGGAACGACGTGAACTATGATAGTACGTTCACTCAAAGTAAATGAGCCTGGACGGCGAACTAACAATGGAACGACAAATATTTACTGAAATTCTATACTGTCCGAAGGTAATAGGACGGATAGCTTACCTGTAGAAAGACCATTTAAGAATGAGCTGATGTGCAGCCCGCGTGTAGGCCACGCTATTCCCTTCAAGTGGTTGCAAAATACTGGAAACCACCGTGTCTAGCCACTGGGCCCATTCCTCCAGCGATGCATGCTTGTGAAGGATACGTTTAAAATCCTGCTCCAGCTGACTTACTGTAGCGTCACTACACTGGCACACCCAGGAAGCTTGTTCCTGTAAAAGGCAAGTGATAGAAAAAAAGATCACACAAATAGCTGTGGATTGGTAGGAAAAAACAAGGAGAGTGAGAAAGAAACAATAAATGTGTCTTCCTTTTGAATTCGCTACATCCACCGAGACTAAAACTAACAATCAAAATCAGTCTCATTCGACCGGTCACCTGATCCGGTTACTGTTTACTGGCATCAAACGCCGAACTGGAAAACCACTGCTTCTAACAATATCAAATACAACTACACGAACTTGCACTGTTGGCAATGCACATTAACGACGTCGGTAAACATTGCCAGAATTAAGCACAACAGCTAATGCGTAGGTAGTTACTTAAGGGCCAGGAGATCGCCAGATAAACAGATAATTCCTTGTTCAAAAAATTAGGGTGAAGCGCGAAGCCTACTGTGATGTGCAATCGTCACTTTACTGGTTGCATCAGTCGAACAAACGCAAGGCTGTGTTTATTCGTTCACACTGTCATCCAGGGATCAACATAGACCCAAAACCGTAGTCAAAGATTAGGTGGCGTCAACAAACGTGTCATAAACCTAAACGACCCAGGCAATGAATCTTTGCAATAAAAAAGGCATTTGGTCGGCTACGCACATCCAGTTTCTCAAGATCGATCGTGAGAATAACAATGTAGCATTTATTAGCGGCGAATGTCGGCAAAAAAGGCAAAACTTTAAATTTTGACGCACGGAGAACAAAAAAATTCAAAACTGATTTACACCATCCATGGTTCGTAATTCGGGAACGAATGCCCCATCAGGTGAGAGGTCAATAAATTTAAAACGTGTTTTCAAGCCCTCAGAGACATATATTATTCCCCAGTGTTCCTTAACTTTAGTAACCTCTTTCAAAAAAGGTTAGGTTAGTGCAATGAAAGCTGACATTCTAAGAGATTAGATTCTTTGATTATTACTATTATATTGTCCTCCAAACAGCATGTATGCTTTCCAAGATAAGTATCCAAACAGTAGTTAGCAATCATGAATCGAAATGAGACAAGATACGCCTGACTCTCAGACCAATTCAAGCAAGGACAGCACCTGAACGTCACCATTAAGATTTTCCAGCATACGCTACAGAAGTGCTAAAAATGATGATACCAAAGCAGATGAAAAATGAATTAAGTGTCAACAGCACAGTCACCAAACATGGAATCGTTCAAGCATAGCATTATTTTCTGGGTATAAATGCTATGCAGCTCGAGTGAAGCACGATTGAGGTACTATTACACGCCCAATCACAGACGGGGGTAAACAAAAACTACTGGGCGAAATTGCACCAAGAGGCACTAGATCAACAATCCTGGTCCTTCACTTTAAGTTAATCCAGGTTCACCATAAAGCTAGACTGCAAACAAGATAAGGCTGCTTTGGTAAAATTCGAAGTGCTCTCAGATGACTATGGAGTGAAGGGAAAGACTTGAGAAGGCTGATATACGAAACATGGTCGAGATAATGCGAAACAAAAGAACATGAGAAAACAAGAAAGATAGGTTGTTATAATCTGGAATTTCGTGGACAGACTGTGTAAATTGTTAAGAAAACACCACTGTAACAAAGGTTGTAGAACTAAACCGACTCACCTGTACGTTGTTAAAATCCACACGATTAAGATCGGTCAGCATTTGATTGATCTGGTTATGGTTTTTTAAAACCGTACGCGCCGCTTGAGCCAAATGATTCAAGCTAGTATACCGCCGCAAGGTCTGTGCCAAAGCAGACACGGCAGATAATTTCAATCTGACCAGGGTACTGTCTAGGCCTTGGGTGGCTTGCCGCATCCAGCCCTTATAACCATTGGGGAGAAATGAAACAAAATATGGTTGCAGTACATCTTTTAGGGCTATAAGAAATCAGAACTCAGAATCAATGCAAATCATGGGTGGAAAAAACGTGGAGTCAAGGCGTCAGATAATGTAGCTGCAGATCACAACTCTAGAAGACTAAGTGATGGTCCATAAACTAAACATGACAAAACAGCGCAAGAGACTGTGTATCGAAGAACGACCCGAAAGCTCCACAACTTCGAAAATAATTAGACAGAGCCGAACATCTGACTAATCATCATTACGTAAAGAAATCACGATTCGACACAGCGCAATGAAAATGTGAACGTTCCCTACCCTTTCAGTCTGAGTCTGGCACATATACTACTCTTTTGGACTCATTGCTGATTCCATAATAGTATGCCCAGCTAGCATTTTGAGTGACCGCACAGCTTCCTATGGTTAGCTAGGAACAGCAGTTGAAGCCTACTTCGGAATATAGTGACGATTAGTGATGACGACTCACATGTAAGAACGTTTTTCAGGCAAACCATGTAATGTCAAAGAAAACAGGTAAATTGACACAAATCCCAGAAGTGTATGCACCCAACTGGTGGGCATGAGCTTACTTCCAAAGACTTCGCAAAGTTCCGAATCGCTTGCGTTAGTGTATGAGGAATGGGTCGTAATACATTTGGAATGAGTACTTCTGCGAGGGACTGGTAGAACGTATGGTCGTACAATCGAACGAATTGAAGGACTGACGTATCGGACACCAAAGCGTAAAGACGGTCCTGCGGCAAACTCTGCTTCAGACGCGAGTCCTGTGAACAAAAAGGCCGCAATAGGTAGGTCACCAGGGTCCAGACATTATGCTCCAACACCTAAAAACTCCAAGTTGATGGATTATGCACCACTTGGATGCCCGATTGTTGGAGCGAATTATTAAACACGAATTTCAACTGTACCACTCAGCTTCCTAATAGTGGGCGATTCAGAAAACTTGCTTAGTTTATGAGCAGAAAAATATAACTGAAGCGGCTTTCGGTTACTGCCAACACAACCAATCTGTTTGTTCACTGGCTCACTGCACTTTTCGAAACTAACGATGTTTGCGCCACCTTTGAAAAGTAATGTCGGTTACACTTCTGAGTAGCTTTATGCTTTCATCCACAATTATAGCAACTAACAATTTAATTTAATTTTCTGCACTTTGAAAGGGTGATGTTACTTGTAACTGCCCAACCTATTGGAAATGACCAGTCGAAATGATCATTGAGAGCAAGCCGTAATAGAGAACAGGTAGAATAAATTGATGTTCAACGGAGTGCGTGAAAAAAACTAGCCTTACCCGTACTTCTTCCGTGCGCCAAAATGCTTTCCAAACTGTCTCGATGGCCGTAAAATCCAGATTAACGACCGCGTCCAACATATAGCTTGCAGACAAAGCGTACAAACGACAGAAGGTGATAGCATCAGCGAAGAAGGACGGGTCGAGCGTGGTTGATTCCAATTTTCCCTTGGTCTTCTTCACAGCGTCTGCACTGACTAAACTGGACAAGTCAGCTGAATATAACGAAATATAGTAAGACGAAATTATGATGATTTGCTGAAAGCGAACCTGTGTTACATAAATGGGATTCTTATCAGAAAGACTGAAATAATGGTCGTTGGTTTGTTCGCTGAGCTGGGCAATTTGATTGCAAACGTTTCATCACCAATCGAGCCGGCATCATAAGTGCGTTGGTTGGGAGCGACCATCTATGCCACGTGAGATATCAACATTCTCCTCTATAGCAAACTGAAGTAATCACAAGCTCGCCAGACTACGACTCGAAGAGTTGCCGAGATTCGTATACCTAGAAATAACGGAGCTTCTCAAACACTTTACGATTAGATAACACCTTATACATCCAGGAAGCTTCGCTAATCAACTGCGTTTGTCCTTATTTAGAAATTAACTGTGGGACAACGAAGGAACAAACAAGGACAATCGAGCACTCATTCAAGGTCATGGCGAAAGTGAAGATGATATTGAAATTTCTACTGTACGGGAACATTTGCGAAAAATAACTTGTAGTTTAGCTTTTGGAAAACTAAGATCGAGAGCATTACAGTAGTGCCTCCAGCACGCTCCTTATGAAGTCACACTTAACGCTTTGGAGAAAGAGGCTGGGAAGTTGCTGACGGCATTATAAGCTTAACTGAATTCTGTCACACTCAGCAAAATGTACATTATCAAAGCTATCAAGTGTTGTTAAACAGACGAGTAAGTTCATCGTATGACTGGGCCGTGAACGTCATTATTGCTATTATATAGGAAATGCTGAAGGAAAAACAACACAGAGGAATACTTACTTTCGCCGGGGACAGGGAGTCCAGAAGAACGACAAATTTCATCTAAATTGGGCAAGGCAGAACTAGCTTCCCCCAGAAACTGCGCATGTTGATGTTGGCCAGCAGGTGTGATTATAGGGCTGGATAAAGAACCCGAACTGGATACATTTTCAGTATTTACATTGCTGGACTGCGAGACGGCGGTGCTGCTCAAGTAGGAAGAAGAAAACGGCTTGTCTGAGCGCAGAGACGATGCACTAAAATCTGTACTATGTGGAGGTTGTGTTGATAATGTTTGGCTGTGTTGACCATGAGCACCGGTAGTGGACCCAACGTTCCCACTCTTTAACCGAACAATTGAGGAATTCGTAAAGCTCTTCCACTCTGCAGCTGCATCCATTGTCTGACGATGGTAATTGGGGTAATGACGAAGTGAGAACCCTGCATCTTCAACAAAGTGATTCAGCGGAGATCCAGCCTTAATGCGAATGCCATAATAATGATACTTCGAGTTTCCCCGGGTTCCGAGACGCCGGGTACGAAGTCCGAAGAAAACTGACCGTATAAGTTTGCCAAATGAAGCCGGATTCATAGGCTCCAATTTGTGTTCGTTGCAATGTTGTAGATAGTGAAAGTAAAGCGTACTTCGGGGCAGGCTAACGCCCTCCGCAGTCTCGTAATTCTCCACCAACCACTGCACCTAATTGGGGCGAAAAATAATAACGAGTGAGAACTTGCCCGATGCAATAAGAAATATTAAGCGAATATGGATCAACAACGGGAGGACGGACAAAACATACCGTCAGAGGGCTGGCTTTAGCTGTGTGCGAAATAGATGATGGATCCTCTTCTAATTGGCCACCTTGAACCAGGTAAGTGGCCCCTTGATGTGTAACAAGCTGCGCATGACCTGCACCCAAAGTGGCAGGTTGAGGACCAGAGTTCGTCCCAGCTCCCGCTGTTCCACTGGAGCCGGTGAAGGCTGAAGCCAAAACCTATGGAATAAACAACGCCAGTGGCTATAGCTGTGAAAACTAATAAGCAAAGGACATTATTGAGAATCATTCTCGGAGGAAGCAAAAGTTAATACCAGCATCAGTCTCATCAGGAAAAAATAAGCGATGTGATGGATCCTTCGCAGAAAGCTCAGAAAACAACAAGATGACAAGGCAAATCTGCGGAAAATAATCGGACCCAAAAGGATTCCGTACAGTGAGTAATCACCCCAGGTATGAGCAACGATGAACCATGTAGCATATTACCCACTAAGGAGAACCTGAGTGTGCTCCGTAAACAAAGCATTTGAAGCCAAATTACCACCGATTCCCTTCAAGCGAAGATTTAAATGCACCCTTGAGAAGCCGTAGATGGCCGACGGGTAGAAGATTACCAGAACACATCCAAAATAAAGGGTGCACATCAATATAGTTGAAAGTGACAGTGATTACTGCGACCAGTTGAGATATACATGATTTCTCACATGAATCTTGTCTGCCTGGCGGAGTTATTCGCACAAACTGCATTCCATGAAACACCGAACAATAGGCCAATGTGATTACACAGCAGTGCCTGTTCAAAGCCTGTTCATGGAAAGCTGCCTTAAAGCGAGACCCATGCAATACTGTGCCCGTGTACATGCAAACGTAAGGATAGTGTGCTAAGAACGAAATGAAATGCAAATGTAAAGTTGTCAATAGCGGTCTATTACATCTGCTTACAAGCCCTACAGGATTTGAGATAGCATAAGCACATTCGAATCGCACTTTTTCAAAGACAAGGTTTGCGCGTCTTGCACAGGGGCTAGTAAAACTAAGCACTTCATTGTCGGTTAATATAAGTTCACACCTCCATGACTTGAATTAGTCACCCACAATTTTTCCTTAAACAAGGAGCAAGATCACAGGATAATGCATATGATTTCTACCAAACTTCATAGCTAGATGACACCAAGTTTCCAAGTACAAACAAGGAGCAGACACAGTGAAGCTAGTTGAAACTTACTTGGCCCGTTGCAGTTTGATAGTATGTTTGCCCACCAGAGACGGGAGCGTAAATAATTGGAGCATAACCTTGATATTGTCTATAGCAAGAAAAAACATCACATTCAGGGATAAAAACCGGAAAAGGTGAAGGTAAACAAGACTGGAAAAACTAGAAAGCAGTTGCCGCTGAGCATTCGGATGCACAAGATTAGAGTAAAAATTCAAAGGCAAGTGAAATAAGTTGTGACACAACAAATCCAGAGAGCGATTAGCGTTAAGAAATCAGTTCCACAAACTAGAAGCATGCTCGGAAGATTAAGATGCAGGCAACAAAACGGAACTAGACAAGCCGTTTCAGCAGATTAGACTGGATCACATGTTAAAGTCGAAAAAAAACATGCGTGATAGGACACATGTATATGAGGACAAACAGAAGGTATACTGAGCAGCTGCTCTTCAGCTACTGATCAATGCACCAAGAGGCAAAAGCTAAACTAACAATTAGTAAGAACCAATGCTCAAACGCATAAACATGCGAGCAGAAGGCACAGCAGCAGACCTTCAAAGGAAACCATCAGGAAGAAATACGAACAGGGATAAAGTTCAAACAAAGATTACCCAGGCATGGACTTGGAGACCGATGCAAATAGTTTCCTTAAAGGCGTACCAGACTTAAGCCCGAGATAACCGCTGAAATGATGGAGATGGACATAATAAACCGTGCGTAAGCACAAACTCTAGACGGGTCATGCACATATGAAGATCAAATAAGCAAACTAGCTTAGTTCGTCAGTAAACTCGGAGGTTAAGTGGTGAATGTCTCTGCTGGAATGTAATAACCTGCTCAGGAAGTTTTTATTTCAAGTGGTTAGAGCGCAAATTTACTAAACGCGGTTCGAACTCGACATCTGCCTCTCGACTTCCCCTGTCTAAGCTAGGGCAACCTGACAGTATTCCAGCCCCTGTGCTTCCTTCGGATGGCGCCGGAATGGTGCTACAGCTGAACGGTTTTTACAACTTTTGAATTTGCTTTGACAACGTATGCGAGATGAGGAATCTGGATAAGACGCTAAATCCTAATCTCGCAATTGCGAGAGGAGCAAGGTACATCACTCCTCGTTAAAACCAACATATCAGAGCTACCTATGATGCTCAAGGTGAGATTACCTTGACTGATCCTCCACAGTAATATAGAAATCTGTGACATGTTAGAGCTTTGACTGAAGCTTAGTGAACTGGACCCGATTATAGCGACAGCCACTCGTATTCACTATGTTGATACGATCTGTAGAGAGTAAACTGCACCTGCCGTTATGAAAACAAGCCTGCAGAAAGGATAACAGAAATCATACGCAGCGATTAGTGGAACGATCGACTTCGTGGAAGTGCAGCTTTTTAATAGGACAACAGAGGTTCCTGTGGTGAACTAAATTGAAGACCATTCAAATTCAATGAGATCCTTCCAATCTAACTTCCGCACTACCAGGCTAGGTACTTTTTTGGACAACCATTGTTTTCATGTTGTGGGTGTATTGACGTCTCGCCACCTTTCACAGGACTCAGTGGTAAAAACAAGTGATTATTAGGTTCGGATAACCGGTGAACTTCCAGTTTATGATTACGAAAAATAGACAGTTTAAAAAGCACGTTGACGTATGCAGGCAACAACAGTTTGTGAACAGTTTGAACGATTTGCCAATCATTCCAATGGGCGACAACCATTTGTGATGTTTGGACAAGCCTCACCGAATACCCAAAGTGTGAACGGTTTTTAATGCATCCGTCGTTATATCGTCAGTATCTTCAAATCTATCATGCATGACCGGATAGCATGATTTGGTGCACGTAGTATTGACAACAGGCTGGTAGCAGTTATGCTTGCTTTTCCGAGTTGCGTTGTATCTGCCTGTATCACACCACCCCATTCGGGCAACGACTGTAAACCAAAGGTTCATAAGCAGATCATCCACAAATGAATCGAATGGTTACACCAGCTCGCTTCACCATGTCTGTTTGGACATTCTTTATGACCTTTATTAGTTCAGTAGCACGAACTGGCGTTATAAACGTAAAAATTATTGTTAACTTGTTTTTGTTGGAAGGATGCGGGCTATAGAGAGGATCTGTAGTTAGTGGTCCCCTGCAATGAATGATAGACATGAAGATATATGGCGAAAATCGACTACTACTACTACTAAGATTACATGAGCAGATGAAGACAAACTAGTAGGGTCCCGAAGGCGGGATATTCTTAGAAAAAGGAGGCACTAGCTCTACACTGCGAATCGTTAACTTGGTAGAAGTGGCATGATGAACAGACGTGTTGCTCGATTGAAAGACAGGCGAAAGCATAGTATGAGCAAGTTCCAACGAACATTTTCTCTGATAATAACGGTAGCATAAAACAGGATACCAAAGTTCTAATGGTGAGGTGTTCGTAGATTATCAGTCAATAAAGTATCTATGGGATGCACGATTTCACGTTAAATGGAACTAATGAAGGGTAAACAAGAAGCCCCACTCGCAACATCATAGTGGTAGTCTAGGGTAGGGAGAAATTGGGATCTTAAAAGAAAGGAATTCGGATCAAACGGAAAGTGTTGAGGGATCCGAACTCCAGTTTAGATTAGCTAAGTTTGAGAGTGAATACCGACCACCGCACAGGAACAGAAAGCTTTCGATCCAAGTGACTGAGTCCGAATATGGCCCGTACGTGGAGGGCCTAGCAAAACGGGTTGATTAAACGATAACCATATAGCAAGCACATTCGTTTCTGTTGGTAATGTTTTGGAATATTGGTAGCTCGGGTGTATTGGTTGGTAATTGATCAGGTGGCTGTTGATCTGTTCGCCGAGCTTGGCAATTGACTTGCAAACGTTTCGTCACCATTCGAGGAGACATCTTCAGTGCGCTGTTG